TAAGAAAACTGTTCAGCACTGGCCTTTAAATTCTTATCGGACCTTAAAAGCGTCTTCCCACAAAGATCCATCCACAATCTACCATCCGTTGAACGGATCACCATAAGGTTTGTAACAGTTCTTCAAATTTGACGGACTCCTTTATGCGATAGTAAGGCGATGTTTGTTCGGTGCAACTTTGAGCCCTTCTTCTTGACAGTGAAAATTGAAACATTCATTACGAAAACGTTCACAGCAGACAACGGCAAGGGTGCACCCAAACAACAAGTGTTCCCGAATCATTTGTGCGTTTACGGCACTTAGAGTGTGATCGGCACTCTTAAATAAGGTTTGTTGCCTTGCACTGATATTTTCGGCCATGCTCATACGCACACTCGCAAAATGATTTCGTGCTCTTTCCTGCATGTATACATGAGTTGACGCCGATCAATATGCTAAAGCAAAAGGAATGAGCGAAATTAAGAGCACAACACTTGAGACAAACAATATGTGAGAGACACGTGTGTTGTTGTTATTCTTGCATTAGCTTCATACATGCATACATATTTGTTTTTAAGTATGCACATATACATACATACATATATGTGAGATGAAAATAAAAGCCATGTTTTGCTGCTTCATTGCGTGTATTTAATTTTATTGTTTTCAAGAAAGTCATTACATATTTTATATGAATTTGAGATCGTTCATACAGATAAAGGAACAGGTAGTTCAGTCGTTAACAGTTTTCCTTTTGGATTCATTTTTAACTTAGATTAGTATGTCGTAAAAATAAAAGTAATTCCACAATCAATTTCACTTTTTATAGAGTCCGCCGTTTCAATAATTTTGCTTATTCCTTCTAAGACTTCAACTAACAACTGAAATCAAGCGACCAAAAAACAAACCAGCGATCATGCATACATACAAGTTAAAGACCCTCGAAATCATAACTGTAAAACATGAGTGTTTCGCTCACAGCGCATTATTGCGCATTGCTCTTTGTGACATTTGCATTGAGTGCACTGTGCAGTTCACTTATCTGCGCAAAATTGTTGAGTGAAATAAAATCTATGCTTACTGTTTGAGTGAGTGACGAAATGCAAAAACACGGAAAGCGATTTGTGCGTTTGGGTATGTTATTCTATTCTTGTTGTTTGTGAGTGCGACACGCACTCCAAACATATAAGTGTGATTCGGGTGCCAAAAAGTGACACCCTTGACGATCTCTGGTACTAAGGCGGCAAAGGATGGGCAAAAAAAGTTTTATTTTAAACGCTTATTTTCAAAGTTCATAAAAATAAAAACAAGTTAAGATTTATTAAAATATTTCCCCACAAAGAATATATATTTTTTATACCCGTTACTCGTAGAGTAAAAGGGTATACTAGATTCGTCGGAAAGTATGTAACAGGCAGAAGGAAGCGTATCCGACCCCATAAAGTATATATATTCTTAATCAGGATCTCTAGCCGAGTCGATCTAGCCATGTCCGTCTGTCCGTCTGACCCTCTGTCCGTGTGTCCGTCTGTCCGTATGAACGCTGAGATCTCGGAAACTATAGGAGCTACAATTCTGGGATTAGGCATGCAGATTCCTGCGCAGCGCAAGTTTGTTTCAGCAATATGCCATGCCCACAAACCGCCCAAAACTGTGGCTCCTACAGTTTTTATGCTAAAATAAAAATTTTAACTGATATGTATTGTTCTTATCATTACCTATCGAAAAAAAGTTCTCCACGCCCATAAACCGCCCACAAACATCAAAAAAACGGTAAATATGAACGCGGATATCTCGGAAACTATCAAAGATAGAGAAATGATTTAAATTCCGTAGACTTGTACGCAGCGCATGTTTGTCACGCGAATATGCCACGCCCACTCTAACGCCCACAAACCGCCCAAATCTGTGGCGCCCACAATTTTCATGCTAGATACAAATTGTAACTTGTAACTTGTGCGTGTCGCACTCACAAACAACAAGAATAGAATAACATACCCAAACGCACATATCGCTTTCCGTGTTTTTGCATTTCGTCACTCACTCAAACAGTAAGCATAGATTTTATTTCACTCAACAATTTTGCGCAGATAAGTGAACTGCACAGTGCACTCAATGCAAATGTCACAAAGAGCAATGCGCAATAATGCGCTGTGAGCGAAACACTCATGTTTTACAGTTATGATTTCGAGGGTCTTTAACTTGTATGTATGCATGATCGCTGGTTTGTTTTTTGGTCGCTTGATTTCAGTTGTTAGTTGAAGTCTTAGAAGGAATAAGCAAAATTACTGAAACGCCGGACTCTATAAAAAGTGAAATTGATTGTGGAATTACTTTTATTTTTACGACATACTAATCTAAGTTAAAAATGAATCCAAAAGGAAAACTGTTAACGACTGAACTACCTGTTCCTTTATCTGTATGAACGATCTCAAATTCATATAAAATATGTAATGACTTTCTTGAAAACGTTAAAATTAAATACACGCAATGAAGCAGCAAAACATGGCTTTTATTTTCATCTCACATATATGTATGTATGTATATGTGCATACTTAAAAACAAATATGTATGCATGTATGAAGCTAATGCAAGAATAACAACAACACACGTGTCTCTCACATATTGTTTGTCTCAAGTGTTGTGCTCTTAATTTCGCTCACTCCTTTTGCTTTAGCATATTGATCGGCGTCAACTCATGTATACATGCAGAAAAGAGCACGAAATCGTTTTGCGAGTGTGCGTATGAGCATGGCCGAAAATATCAGTGCAAGGCAACAAACCTTATTTAAGAGTGCCGATCACACTCTAAGTGCCGTAAACGCACAAATGATTCGGGAACACTTATTGTTTGGGTGTACCCTTGCCGTTCTCTGGTACATACATATGTACATATGTTTGACTAAGTAGTAATGCTCACGTATTCTTTTCATGTTTCTTATTCACAAATAATGACACAAGGAAGAGGGAAAAGCTAATAGGGGAGCGGCAGCTTAAGCAAAGCACCCAAAATGTTTAGCATAATCGAAAACAATAAATATATGTATTATAAGTGCACATATGTATGAACTGTGGTTCAAATACATGTATGTATAAATCTGCTACACATATGTTTGTATCCAATCTAAACATTCGTTGCCAATTTTAATTACAACTATGTACGAAAAGCGTTTGCTGCGAATTTTATTTTATATTTTATTATAATATAACTCTACTAATTTATAGCATTTCCTTTTTGCAGATCAAGATTCAAACTCTACCGTTAAATATGAACCAAAAGCCACAGTTGGGAATATCGAACTCAGTGGGAGTAAGTATTAAACATATATTATTTTAATGTTACCTCTCCTTTGCAAATGTATTACAAGCTTAAGGTTTTTTGCTAATACATTTAGTAACTGTTCTGATATTTTAATTTTTGTTTTTGCAGATTCAATTTTAAATTCAACCGCTTTTGAGGAAGATCCAGATTCTAACTCAAACGTTTTTGATGAACCAAAACCAGTGGAAAATATCGAACACTGTGAAAGAAAGGATATTATATAAGCCTTACACATAGATTAAGCCTAGTACTCAGATCGGCTAACAGTTTCACTAGTCGAAAAATCGTATTCTTCGTAGTGTGACCGAAGTTTTCAAAGTTCACCCGCAGTGCATGTAGCATGGTCTTACTGTCAAGCAGCTGGTTTTTTTGCCAAACGGAAAACAAATCAATTGGAGAAATTTTAACAGGTACACAAAGAAATTTAAATAAAAACAAGGAAGAACGCTATAGTCGAGTACCTCGACTATCAGATACCCGTTACTCAAAGGGAAATGGAGATAAGCAAGCAGCAAAGCGAGATTAAAATGCGCCACCTACCGGCGGTAGACAGATTTAAGCGTTATGGGCGTTAGAGTGGGCGTGGCAAATTTATTTTTGGATCAATCGATAGGTATTGACGACACCAATACATTTCAGATAAAATTTTTTATCTAGCATGCAAATTGTGGGCGTCACAGGTTTTCGCGGTTTGTGGGCGTTTAAGTGGGCGAGGCAATGTACTGAAACAAACTTGCGCTGCGTAAGAAGCTCAGGAATCTGTACGCCAAATCTCAATAGCCTAGCTCTCATAGTTTCCGAGATCTCAGCGTTCATCCGGACAGACAGACGGACAGACGGACATGGCTAGATCGACTCGGCTAGTGATCCTGATCAAGAATATATATGCTTTATGGGGTCGGAATCGCTTCCTTCTGCCTGTTACATACTTTCCGACGAATCTAGTATACCCTTTTACTCTACGAGTAACGGGTATAATAAATGGAAAGTTCAACGAATGTTTTCATGCATCCTGGCAGTGGCTGGCTATGGCTTCTCCAACTGTTCTTTAGCGGGCGCCCTATTTTCCTCCTCCCTATAGAGGCCAGCGGGACCTCCAGCTCCGGTTAGCTGCCAAGTAGCTGGTGGCGGTGGTGTCCGGAGCCCTATTGGAGAGGTTTTTGGAGATTGTATTACTGGTCGTTCTGCTAAAAAGATACTTCTATTAGTACAACCAAATTCGTTTGGCCAGATCTTACTTTCTTTGCGAGGTTGCGCCCGGCGGGATGTCCATGTAGAGATCGAAGTTCTACTCGGCATGTTCCTTCCCACTGGCTTTCTCTAGTGGATCTCCTCCAGCACTTCAACTATTCTGCGAATTTGCCCCTTTTGTGGAATGGCTTCCTGTCGGTGAAATCCCACAATAAAGGGCATAAGCTTGGATTTGGCGTCCTATTTCGTCTGCACTGACCTCCTGCATCCGATTTTGTGGGTTTCCTTCCATTTTTAATTTTTAGTTTCCACATCGCCTTTGCACGAACACCGCCGAAGATTAAATTTCTTATTCTTTGGGCCGTGGCTAACGGCGTTCATCGAAAATTCACTCGCGAAATCTGGTATTTTTTCTGGTATTTCCTTAGCTTATCTGAGTACCGCGCTGAAAAAGAGACCCGACGAAAAGCGTTAGCCCCGTATTTGCCTCTCGCTCACTCCTATGGTTAGCTCGCGGTTTTCGTCGATCTGAGTACTAGGCTTTACAAATAGTTTCGTTTGTTGCAATTGGAGTCGATAATGGGAGGGACTTTATCGATAGGTTAGGTCGATAGGGCGATATCCCCGAATCCCGGTTCGCTCTGGGATTACCTTAAATGGATGATGACCCAATTTTGAGAGAGGCTATGTAATATGGCGGGGGTAGGAACGATGATCAGCAGATATATAGATAGTCGCAGCCATATTTTGTGCTTAAAATTAAATAATAGTGAGTGATATTAAAGTTACATGGTAGTTCGTTATTTAATAATAATCATTTATAAAGGCAGCCGGGGTCCCAACACAAAGGGCCCCGGAATATTTACGTTGGAGTTCTACTGATATCTGCGCGACTTCGGCATAGCTACCAGCTCGACTTGGCTGCCAACCGTTGTCCGTTCGACCCGCGCAGACACCCAACAATAAACACATTTCGCAGTCAACGCCGACGACGTAAAGGATTTCCCGGTGAGTCCGTTCAGGTCTACCACGTCCACCTCATCTCGGTGACTTCCAGCCGTCGCATCGTGGCGTTGAGACGTACCGCCATTTTGTATGGCAGCCGAATCTCGGACTACCCTTGCGCAACTCACCGCAGTGCGCCAGTTACCTTCTTGGAGAAGTCTTCAGCCCGGGCTATCATCGCCTTCAGCCCCGTCCCAATAGTGGTTGAAATTTAGAAAAAATTTAAATACACGTGTACCTTGATTATATATATTGATATTTACTTCCCTGTTTGTGAATTTATCTGGAGTTAGACCCGAGAGCATTATTTGTCCTCGTTGTTTGCCTAGAATCAAAAAGGTCGCGAGCATTAGTTAGATGGTATAGCTTGCAGTGCAATTACGTACCTTTTTGGCCTGTCCCTTCTTTTCCCCTGGAGCTCCTCAGGACTGACCATAGACATGCGCATCGCGTATGTTCCTTTGAGGGCCGTGTTTCCATGACTGGCAGAGCATAGTTTTCGCGGCGCCTGTACCCTTTTCCAGCAAAACCAATCCTCTGCTTTGACCGCGTAAATATTTGAGACGGCGGACAGGTTTCGGTCTTAAAGGCTGAGGAAGGATAGATCTGTTAAGAGGAGCATGTATATAAATGATTGTACTTACGATATTTATTAAACCTTTGTAAAACCCACAACGTGTGAGTAAGCTTTCCCAGTGAGGGAGATGGAACCGTTATAGTCGCGAGGAGGGGGCTCCTGCCGACTGAGAATGGGTGGTGCCCTGCAGCATCTTGAGGGCTTCCATGGTTGGGGGGAGCGCTTGGCTATGTCACCGATAGCCACCAAATGTAATCAATTTTTCCGTCAATATTTGTAGATTTTTGCTTTGTTTACGTTTTTGTCATTAGTGATGACCGATAGTTTAGCAATGTGAGACCGTGAAGTTATCGACACTTATTATGCGAGCTGTGGCATTAGGGGTACTCTGCCCTGAGAAAAGACTGAGCTAGCGGCACTGCCACCAAAAAAAACAGTTCGTAACACGTTGCAAATTTTAACTCTTTTTTTTTTGTAACAACTAGTTTTTGTTTGAGTTTAGAATTTAACACAGCACCGAATCAAAAACATAAACTAGCTTTTACAAAAAACAGAAACCAAATTAGAATTTTCCCATTTAATTATGATCCGATCATATGTAATCGGAAAGTAATATTTTTTTCTTTTGGATTGTACAAGCTTATACATAAAAGCGCAATTTTTTTCGAGATATAACCCTAAAAATGCAACAACATCCAAAAAATATATATAGATTTGTTTTAATATAAACTGCCTTTTGGTATATTATAAACTTGATGCCTTTTTTTCTAATACATTTAGTAACTGTTTTGAGATCTCCGTTTTTGATAAACCAGAAGCCACAGATGGGAATGTCGTACACTGTAAAAGTAAGTATATAAGCCTTGTAACGAACTGATTTTGTTGGTCTGCTCGCTACGAGATTCGTGCGGCTAGCTCAGAAGAGTGTGTGTTCTTCTCACCAAATTTATATGACGTGACTGCCCCGTAGATCAGTGAGAAAACACAGGGCTTGAATGGTAACAGTGAGTTTTATTCTCGTGTTATTAATACAGCGGGTGTGTGGCTGAGTTGGCCTCGGTATCTCCTCGCTCTAGTTGTACTGGCTGCTGATGTTCCTCGTCCTGGCTTGCCGACGCGTTGACTTGACGACCGCTGGCTCCTGTGTCTCGGGATGGTCGTAGTGGCCGCCTCTGTTCGCTTGCCGACGCGCTGCGTCGGGGTCGCTTGTCGCACCTTGGACTCGCAGAGAGTTCGGCCTTGCGGGCTTAGGGAAGCGTCAAGGCTAACGCCAGGAAACTGCTTAGCCACTCATTTTGCCTTACGCCTAGCGGAGACGAACGTTCCACCCGGCTTCACCCTAATGCATGACGTCCGCGACGTTCCTGCGCTCCCCAATAAGTTCCGCGCGGCGATGGTGACGTGGCTGCCGGTGATGTCTGCTGGCGTCGCTGCCGATGTCCTCTGCGCTGTTTCTTGTCTTGCGTGTCCTTGGGTAACCGCCGTTCCGGGACTTGCCGAACCGCAGGGCTCCTCCAGGATAACGCCTTTTGAAAGCCTCAACGGGTCGATCGCTCGCCCTTCCTGACTGGTAGCTTGGCGTTTCTGGCACTCGGGGTTTTATGCAGTTGCTGTTCGGGGACTTCGCCGGTAATCGCAGGGCTTTCCAGGACAACGCCTCTTGAAACCACAAATCGATCCATCGGTTGTCCTACGCGCCAGTTCCTGCTTGGTCGGGGAAGGTACGCTGGGTCCTAGACAACTTTTCTCCCCGAGCCCACGGTTCCTCGTCGCAGCCTTTCCGCTTGACTCTGACAGACCCTCCGGGTGATTCGCCAGGGAGTGGTCGTGACAAAGTTGGAAACTAAACGCCTTAACTTAGCCGTGTGATTCCTTTCGGATCTCAGCCACTTGTGGCTCAATTCGGAGATTCCTGATGTCCCAATTCCGAACGTCGCGTCTCATTATCCGCTCCTTGGTCTCCAAACTCTCTTGCTCTCCATCCTTGGTCTCCAAACTCTCTTTCTCTCCCACCTAGGTCTCCAAACTCTCTGGTTCTCTTTCCTTGGTCACCTCGCCGCGCCGTTATTACGCAAATTCGCCGCGTATCTGGTAAGCGGCCGGCCATCTGTTGCTGCTTCTGCTTAGACTTGTGGGGAGTTATTCAACTCCTCACATTCACCCCTTACTTTGGGAAACATTTAAAACTCGTTCCTACTCTCCGGCGTTTCATTGCATATCCTAGCCTTCGAGTCCTTATGATGCTCCTCCCGATTCCCGCGGCGCTCCCTCGTTGCTGTCTCGATGCTCCCTCGACGCTCTTAACTCTATTGAGTTTCTACAGCGCTGGTCATCCTCCTCGTAGCAACTTGAAATCTCCCGCGCCGATATTTTCCATGATTCCACTGGGACCTCGAGACTCATGGGCTATCGATCCCCAGCTCGCTGCTTATTGCTGCGTCCCATTCCATTCCACGGTTTCTCCGCCTGGTCACACCATCCGTGCGTGATCGATGTTTCATCGACTATCGATACCGACGGTGAGGCGTTGCCACCTGCTCTTTGCGATATTTCCACCTATTGCCGATATTTCCATTTTAGTATGCCCATCGAGCGCACTATCTTCCAGTGCCTATTGATCGCCTATCGAGGCGCCACCTTCCCTGGCTCATGGTGATTTTGCAACTTTCATGGGTAATTTTCCGAATTTCTTAAAATTTCTTTTCTCTCCCATCCTTTTTCCTCTTTTGCCCTTCACTCGTCGGCCAGCTTGATCATCGCGCATGAGTCGCAGGAAGCCGCTATTGACGCCATCGCACAGCTTCGGAACAAGGAAGACTGCGGCCAAGGCTTCAGACTCAATGTTGTCTTGGCGTTCTCCTCCTCCACCAGGGCACAACTGGCCAGCACAGCTGGCGCACATCCTCACAGCCGGCCATTAGGGATCGTATCGATGGCCTCGATTTCCAACAGCAGAGTGACCACCTCGGGGGACACCGACATGTCCCTTGCACAGGTAGAGTCCTGCAGCTGGTGCTCCAGTGGTGATTCCGGCTGCAGCTCTACCAATTTCAACACCGTCTGGAGGATGAACCAACTGCTGAACATCGTTTGCCCACTGGCGCTAGCAGAGGCTGTGGCAGAAGCGTCGCTTACCTTGCCATTTGGGTTCCTCTGGCACCTGCGTCAGCATTTTTCCAGCCATCTGCATCTGATTCGGCTTGAATCTCATGCATGTCTCGCATCCTCGCACGTGGGCTCGGGCGTCTCTGTGCATTCCTGGCCAGTAATACCGGGCTGCCAGACGTGCTATTGTCTTTCGGATTCCTACAAGGCCAGCCGCCGGTGAGTCGTGGTTCTCCTTTAGCACCTTTTCCGGGACGCACATATTCCATGTTGCGACATTATCACTGCCCGCTCTATGAGGTATATTCTTGTACAGGGTGTTACCCTCCATCACGTAGTCCGGATACTTTTGCGGCTGGGTCCTTATCTTTTCGCGCATTTCCTGAATCCAGCTGCAAGCTGCAGAAGCTTCCGCCGCCGATGTCTTCTTGATCCCTCGTGTCCGGTAGTGGCTACCTAGACAAAGCGTCTGCCACCTCGTTGAGTTGTCCTTTCCTGTACGCTATTTCGAAGTCGTACTGCTGCAACTCCAGGGCCCATCTGGCGATCCTTCCTGAAGGGCTTTCTATTCTGTTGAGCTACTTCAGCGCCATGTGGTCGGTTACTACTTTAAAGTGGTAACCTTCCAGATACGGCTTGAGCTATCGCATCGCCCAGACGATTGCCAAGCATTCCTTCTCGGTCGTTGAGTAATTCTTCTCAGCGCCGTTGAGCGTTCGGCTGGAGTAAGAGATTACCTTTTCGTCTCGTTCAGTTTCCTGGGTAAAGATTGCCCCAATGCCGTAGTCGCTCGCGTCAGTTTGCAAGATGAATGGTTTGTCGAAATCCGGGCACGCCAGTACGGGGTCAGCGACGAGTCTTGCCTTCACCTCTTCGAACGCCGTCTGATGTTCCTGTGTCCACACCCATTTATTGACCTTGCGTAGCAGATCGTTGAGAGGTTTGACTATTTTTTCGAAGTCAGGTACAAACCGGCGGTACCATGATGCTAAGCCCAGGTACTGTGGGAACTCTCTTACTGTTTATGGTGGTTCTAGTTCGGCGATGGCTGCTACCTTTTCCGGATCCGTGCCTATTCCCTCGCTAGTCACTCGATGACCAAGATACAACAGCTCTTTCCTGTAAAATTGGCACTTCTCCGGGTGTCGGGTCACGCAGCCGCAGCAGCCAACTAACGTCTTAATTCGATCTCTTATATTAATTGCATCGCGAAAGGTAGCTCTGTCTATCTAGCTCTCTCGTTTTTTGTGTACTTGCATTCTTGGGCCCAGCATTCGGCTGGATGTCCCTTTGTAAAAGTAGTACGAATTCTGATCTCGACATTAAATGCACTCTCGTCTCGCCTGCTGTACTCTCTCTCGCTAATAAATTGTTAGCAAGCATAAAGCAACCTAAAATACGTATTTTAATTTAGCAATAACTAATAAAAAAGCTAATTAGTTCAACATTGGTGACCCCGACGTGAATCATATGTCTATTTATTGACTTTTTCGTTCTTGCGGCTGCGGTGCATTGGCGGAGCAACAATCATAAGGCCTTAAATGCAGTGAGCGCTATAAATAAATAGCAGTTGGTGATTGCGGAAATTTACATATAAGGCGCAAAATCAGCTATACATAGAAGCGTACATAGCCAAATAACGGGCTGATATTCCCTTGTTTGCTTTACGCTCATCTTCCGGTCATTTCGTCTGCTGAGTTTGTTGTTGTTGTCGTAGCCATGCCTACGGGAACTTTTGGGGATGTTACCGCTGATGCAAACAGGGCAATATTTTTAAAGCGCAAGGCAACGGCTTTATTTAATAGAGTGGAGCGTTTAGTGGATTCCCTATCAAGTTCGGCGTTAACTTCATGCGACGAATCCGGTCTTCATGTGAGGTTGGAGTTGATCGATGAGCTTCAAGAGTCATTTAAAAAGGTGCTCGGTGAGCTCAAAGAATTGGATTTTGCGGAAATTGAAAGTGATCTAAGTGAGAAATTTGATGACATTCTCGTAATTCTAAAGTCATCGGTTCGATCCGAAATTTCAAAGCGCGCCTCACAGCTTCTTTCGCACTCAACTTTTGCTGACGGCATCACTCCGGGAGTTTTCGGGCCCCGGCAGTCAGCAAACTCTGACAGTGAAATTCACGGACTTTGTGATGACAGCATAGAATCATATGGTGGCTGTGTCTACATCGTTCGGCCGATCTCAATTACTTTGCTCAAATTCAAGGGTAGCCCCCTTGAAAACACTCACTGTGCCCAAGTTGGAAGTGTGTGGGGCGGAACTCCTGTCTAGGCTCATCGCAGAAGCGGCTGGGACGAGTGCATTTGAGGGAAAGGTTTACTGCTGGAGCGACTCTGCTGTTGCGCTTTCATGGATCCGAGACGAGCCGTCCAGATTCAATATTTTTGTAGCGAACCGAGTAGCTGCCATTCAAGAGCTAACTGAGTCAGTGGAGTGGCGATATGTTCCAATTTCTTTAAATCCAGCTGACATTCTCTCCCGAGGTGCTTTTCCTGCTGAGCTCAACGAGTCTCCTCTCTGGGCTCATGGACAAAAATTCCTTTGTGGCCCCAAGGCTGACTAGCCGACCCCAATCACTGCTGAAAAGCCAACGCTTGAGGTTCGCCGGAGGATTCTACTAACAAAATCTAAATACAAAGACATAGTGGCCAGTTCCAAATTTGCCAATTCCTTTGCTACCCTTCAAAGAATTTTCGGATACGTCTATAAGTTCAGTAATCGCATCCATCGCCCTACGCTCACGGTGTCTAACCTTCAAGGCGGTACGCTGCTGTTGCTTCGTCTTGTCCAGCGCTCACATTTATGGGATGACATCAAATCATTGCAGTCAAAGGGAATGGTGCACTCCTCCAGCTCGATCGCATCTCTTTCGCCCTCATTGACCAATTTGGGCTTCTTAGAGTGGGCTGAGGAATTTTTCGCTGGATTTTAATGGGCGTCATCCAATTATATTACCACGGAGTCATTCGGTCACTATTGCCATTATTACTCACTTTCATGAACGCAATCTGCACACTGGGCCACGGGCATTACTCGGCATAATTCGATCCCAATATTGGCCTATTGGGGGGAGGAAGACGGTTATGAAGGCGGTAAACAAATGTATTAGATGCTTTCGAATGAAGCCTCGAGTAGTGGAGCATATCATAGCGGATCTTCCAAAGGAGCAACTTGATGGATCTCATGCGGTCGAAGTCACTGGCATTGACTTTTGCGGGCCATTTTTCTACAAGTCAGAGGCGCGAAGCAAGCCTCCAGTAAAATGCTACGTTTCATTTGTTTCGCCACGAAGGCTAATCATTTGGAGTTGGTCAAGGATCTCTCTACGGTATCGTTTCTACTTGGCCTCAAACGATTTATATGCACTAGAAGAAGGCCGCGGCAGATTTGGTCTGATAATGCAACCAACTTTGTTGGCGCTCGCAATGAGCTGCTCGAACTAAGGCGCCTATTCCTCAGCAGTGATCACCAGAAAGCTACGTTGGACTTTTGCCTAGCTGAGGCTATTGATTGGTGTTTCATTCCTCCTAGGTCGCCACACTTTGGCGGTCTTTGGGAAGCGGCTGTGAAGATCGCTAAGCATCATTTCTACCGCGCTGTTGGCACTGCTGTTTTAGCCTTTGAGGAGTTGCGGACCCTGGTGTGTCACATTTCGGCGGTTGTTAATTCTCGACCATTAGTCTCGATTTCAGAAAACCCAGCTGATCTGGATGTATTAACCCCAGATCACTTTTTGAATGGTGGTCCGCCTTCTTCTTTCGTCGAGCCGGATGTGACCAGTCTTAACTTCAATCGCTTGGATGGATGGCAACGCGTGGCTTACTTGCAGCAGATCTTTTGGTCCCGATGGAAGGAAGAATACCTAACATTGCTACAACAGCGCTCCAAGTGGCGCACCCCAAAACCTGACCTGGTTGTCGATGACTTAGTTCTGGTTAAGGACGAAAACTTGCCTCCCATGAAGTGGCCCCTCGCCAGAGTGATCGAGCTTCTCTTCGGTGGAGATGGGGTTGCTCGAGTTGCCGTTCTGAAGACAGCATCAGGAGTGACAAAGCGAGCAGTAAACAAGCTGTGTCTGCTACCCCTTAAGGATAATGTTGAAGCCCAGGCCTCCAACGGGGGGAGTATGTCGGGTCACGCAGCCGCAGCAGCCAACTAACTTCTTAATTCGATCTCTTATATTAATGGCATCGCGAAAGGTAGCTCTCTTTATCTAGCTCTCTCGTCTTTTGTGTACTTGCATTTTTCGGCCCAGCTTTCGGCTGGCTGTCCCTTTGTAAATCAGGACGAATTCTGATCTCGACATAAAATGCACTCTCGTCTCGCCTGCTGTACTCTCTCTCGCTAATAAATTGTTAGCAAGCATAAAGCAACCTAAAATACGTATTTTAATTTAGCAATAACTAATAAAAAAGCTTATTAGTTCAACACCGGGCTTAACTCAGATTTGCCTTCCTTAGCCGTCGGAACACTTCCTTCAGTTTAGCCTTGTGTTCTTCCAGCGAGCGCCCGATCACTATGATTTCATCCTGGTAAGCAAATGCGTGCGGCGACATTTCGGGATCGATCACCCGGTCCAGCACCCGTTGAAAGGCCGCAGACTCTCCACTGGAATAGGCTTTTCCAAACTGCTGATGTACCGTGCTTCCCTCAGTTGGTCGAGGATATAATTTATTCGGGGCATCGGGTAAGCATCCTTTATAGGCTTGGCGTTGATTTGCCTAAAGTCGACGCACAGTCTCCATTTGCCCGTTTTTTTTTTTAACCATCACGATGGGAGAGCTGTATGGGCTTGTTGAGTGTTCTATGTATCCCATTTGGAGAAGCTCGTCAACCGTCGCATTGATCTCCCCTTGAACTTCCAGATTCTTGGAGTAGTATCGCTGCTTTATTGGTTTGTCGTCTTTCATCCTGAGCTGATGCTCTGCCATGTTCGAGGTTCCCGACATGCTGTTGAAACTCGATAGCTCTGCCTCCAGGAATTTCGTCGTGTCGTCATCTTCGCTTGGCCGTTGTACGACTGCCACCGATAGCTTCTCCTCGAGCCATCCCTTGTGTCGATTCCTGGCCGGTATTATCACTTCGTGCCCAGCACATTTAATCTCGGTACCGATGTCTTTCGCATTGCTCCTGGCGGTGCTGGCTGCGCGGCTCGACGTAGCGTGGCTTTTGGTACTCTGGAATTCGGGCGTACTCCGATCCGGGACTTTACGAGTCGAAACCGTAGGGCTCTCCTGGACAACTCCACTGGAGACCGTACCGATCGACCGCTCTCCCTTCTGTCTTCTTATACTCGTTATTCTTATTCCGGGACTTAGTTGATAGGGATAAGAAGACCGCCTTGACCTAGCCGTATGACGCCCTCTGGACCTCAGCTACCTGCGTCTCAATTCGGAGATTTCTGGTATCCCAATCCCGAATGTCTCGACGTAGCAATCTTGCTCCTCGTAGGCTTCCACGGCGCTGCTTTTCCGACGACTCGACTTGCTGTGGCTTCCTTGTAGTTTATTTGGTTGACTGACTGTTCACCTTGGTATCTGACTTGATCTTGATGGTTTGACTCCTCCTGATCGACTGATCCAGCTGCCAGCACTCTGCGGCCTTATATAGGGCCTCCGAGAACTGTTATTTCCCTTTTGCTCACGGACCGCTGAATCT